TTCTTTCTATGATAATACACCCTTTATTTTTTTTTCCGATTCTAGCTGAAAATAGTTCTTTAAAATTCAGTTAACGTTTTAGACAGTTGAGAAACTTCAGTTTTGCATTGAGGTAACATGAATTTCCATACATATTTTGAATGAAAGCATAATTCAAAGTTAGGCGGAATTGAAAGAAGATTGAACTGTAGTGTAGCAAGTAGGAATTAAAAAGTGTATTGTTTCCTATAAACTGGTATTTAGTTGAACGTATTACATGGATGGTTGGAAAGAAATTATGGTCGATGGCAAACAATATTATATTATTGTCTAATCTGGATTATACTTTTTAAATTTTCATTCTTCCGTTCACTGCTCATACGATTAATAGCTGAGTGATTAAATTATGAATTCAATTAATCTCAACATACAGAAAGAAGCCTCCGGAAAAAAAAACGGTTTTATATATTCTCATTGTTACCTACCTATATTGATTGTTGAGTTTTTGCGGAACCATATACGACCATAATCATATATGAAAATATTCATTATCTATGGCTTTTTGATTTGAAGTAACGAAGGTCGTAAATAAAACGTGATATATTATTTTATGTTTCTTTTATCAGTTATCACACCTGCATATATTTATTTTGTAAATTTGTAACTCGCGTTATAAATTAGTTATAAAATAAGCAAATAAACGTCAGACTTGCAAATGATACTGTATCATAATATCTATAAATATTTATGTTTTGTAAATTACACAAGGTTGCTAATTAGAACTTTGTAGGAATATTTTGCTTTTCCAAATTAAACAACGAATAATTATAACTTCACAGTGTCCCAGAGCTTTTAAACCAAAAATTTTTGAAAAATCCCAAAATGATTAAATCAAATTATCCTTATAAACAATCTACTACATTGTTGTTGTTGTTCTTTTTTACCCCAAGAAACATATTTGTTTGTAAAAGGGATATATAAACATATGATAAATAAAAATAACGAATAATTAACGAGTTATGTCAATATAACATAATAATTAAAATAAAATCATTTCAAGTATTCAAATGAGAATAAATTGCTCCGTTTATAGTGTCACGAGTATATATTTTTTAATATTGACTTTGAATCTTGTTTCATCATCAATATGTTTCAACAAATCATAAGGTAATGAATTATATAAAATGATTTCGTTGTAGAATACCGAGTAGTGCCGATTGTTTGCCAATAATGGAGTTATATGGGTTTGCTATTAATGAATGCAACTGTTTCGTTTCATGAGTATGAATTGTATTTACTTCAGTAAAGTTCAAGCTGTTTTTTTTTCTCACAAATTGCACCCCCGTAGCTTTTTCTAGTAGGTAGATTGTTTGACTCGAGGGTGATTTGATATCATTCTTTTGGAGAGTCTATTGGATTCTCATACATTCAACAGTTTTTTTTTCTACAATTTATTTCGTGGTTCAAAATCTAACTCAAAACTTTGTCTTGTTACGCGTGATTGTCCACTAATAGAGAGAAGCATATTTAGCGCACAAATTTCCATTTATGTAATATCAATAACGTAAGGTCGTAAGTTATATTCTCCAATGCGAAACAAATGACCATATAATTTAATAATTCATCGCACGACCACTTATATTGTTTTAACATACAGGGTGTCCCAGAATAACGTTTCGTATATTCCGAGAGGTGATTCTGCAGATCGAAATAAGAAAAAATGTTCTTATCAACATGTGTCCGAAAATTATCTTTGTTATTTATCATTGTTTCTAGAATCACGAAATTTGGTACCTTAGGGTGATACCTCGGTTGATTCGAATCGTTTCGTGGTACAGAACACATGATTTAATATATAGGGACGTGCGAAAGGCATAATTAATGCTTGAAAAAGGTCCCATTTTTTTTTGTTTCCAATATTGTTGTTGTTCAGGAAAGTATTCTCGTTAGATGTCCGAAAAAATTCACAATGATTAGAACATGATAATTACAATTTTACATTTCCATTCAGTTTTGTTTCATTGGAGTTATTAATCGTGATATTGATTTGTCGAGATAATATCCGCAAATCAAAAGGAAAAATGACCGTTTTCTCGAAAACGGTTCGTTTTACGGCATTCTGACTAGGATGTAAAAGTGTTTGAAGAATCATATTCCGGTAGTAAAAATGAGATAAATCTTGAAACAAAAAAACTTGGGACATTTTTATAGCATCGGTCAATCGATCACGAGTTTTGCACCTCCCTGTATGTTAATATCGTGTATGCCGTAACACGAAACGCTTTGTAAGATCAATTCATCACCACCCTTTGGTACCGAATTCCGTGATTCTAGGATCACAAAGACAATTATTGAAGAAAACTGCACTTGAGGAACTACGTTCAAAAGACTCTAGCGCCTTTTTAACATTTTTGGACACGATAGGAACATTTTTATTTTATTTTTAACTGCACTAACACATCCCGGAGTATACGAACGTTATTCTGGGACACCCTATATATCGTGCACATGACCAATTCAGTATTCAACACGTAATAGATCGTATTGCCTTTCCTTAACAACCGGAAAACTCCCCTCAAAACAATCCTCACCTCTTCTTCTTGTGTACTCCGTACGCCACTACATAACACACCCCCGTGATGAGTCCGGCCAAGACACTGACCCCTAGTCCCGTGGAAACCGCCAAAGAAGACCCCATCGTGGCACGCCAACCGTTCACCTCGCAGCATCCCCTCGCCAGATCACATCTTATCGCGAACTGCATCCGTCAAAGATCGAAAATTGAGACGTCGCACGATCAACAGGTGGATCAACAGGTGGAGAATGAGGCGCGCGCAACAGGTGAAAGAAAATGGTCCTCCGGAGTCGGGAGAATGTGGTTATGGGTACGACCGCTTTTCGTCGAAGGAAATATACTTTCACGGCGGGTCAAGACGCTCGTTGAGGCCGATAAGGTCTGATTTTTTCGTGGCCCGGTCGCTGGTTGACGTAGTGGAACGGGGACGACCTTGCGAAGGTAATAAACATGATGGAGGCACTGTATCCTCTGACGGTTCGTTATTTTTCACGGCGGTTTGCCAGGTAATAAGACGAGAAAGTGATTTGGGCAATTAACACTATCACTGTTTCGTACAGAAACATCAACTTCATTGATTTGTACTCTGAGACTGGAGCACTAGAGGACATTTTGGGGCCGATGCTAAATATTTATTTTCAAAGGAAACTGACCAAATTCACAAATTGAATTGTAACATTGACAAGTCAACTAAGCGTCGGCGACCTTTCACTTTTCTATCGATACTTCCACGAGAAATGTTCTTCGGAAATCTCTGCTATCATCCCTTCACTAGCAATACCAATCAGACAAACTAGATAAGCCCAGTCAGCACATCCTTTCGTTGTCAACTTCGAAAGATGTCGAACAGCACTTTATCAAGACTCCTTCATCCATAGAACGGCTAGGCTCTGGAAATGATTGCCTGAGGAAGTATTCCCAACAACATATAATCTCCAGAAGTTCAAAAAAAATCCAATACCTACCTCCTGTCCTCCCTAGGAAAGCACGATGTTCTTTGAAGATTATAGGGATTCCCTTTCGTGCGCACGTATAGGTCTTTGTTAGCTACTGACAGTCGATTGCCGTAACAGACGTGCAGGATTTCTATATATTCTTCAAGAAAACAAATTAGGGAAATTGAGAATCGGCCACGAAGTACACTAGATTCAACTCCTCTTGATTTTTTTATGGGACCTGAACTGTGTTGGTCAAGTAAATATATAAATTATTGTTTATTCCCCTATTTGTTGAATATCTCAAGCGCACTAGAATTTTATGTCACTGCCTTCAGCTGAAGTTTTATAAGCATATAAAGGTTGAAACTTTAATACTCACCTCATTTCTGCAGCAGTAATGAATGAATGAGATAATCTTTATTTGATCAAATAATCCTATTTATAATATTGCAATAGGTAATTGAAAAGATATAGGTATTGATTTTTCGATATTGATTTCTCTATACATATTATGACAGTCGTATAAGTAACTCGTATAAAGAACTAACGACGTGGGCAGGTCAACGCTCTGTCACTGTCAATGACAATCTTGCTGGAATTGCAGCCTGGGAAACCAACAACCTAGTTGAATTCAACGCCACCAAAACTCAAGCCTGTATATTCTCTAGAAAGGCGGAACTCAGTATGCCTGATATAACAATGTCTGATACCACCATTCTCACCAAGACGACTATATCGATGCTCGTTATTTCCATCATCAGCAATACTCTTTCATGGGATGTCCGATGCACCGCGAAAGCTGCTTCGCAAAATCTCGGATTTTTATTCCGTGCGAAAATCTACTTTACAAATACGGCCAGTTTAAGAATAATATTCTCACATATGGGGTTCAGCACCCAAACATACGCTGATATATACGCTCTAAAATTACATCCAAAGAAAAGCCATTGGTCTGATGGTAGGTGATGCCACACTCACTACTCTCACTAGTCTTTGACCTCGTTAGAACACCGTAGAAATGTCGGAGACCATTCACTTTTTTCTGCTATCATTCCATCACTATAGCAATACCAGTCAGACGAGATAAAAAGGCACAGTCAGCACAACTATTCGTTGTCAACTTTGAACAACACTTTATCAAAACTTGGCGTGTTAAAAGCCCTCGCTGTCGCTTGGGCTCTCACACGGTACCGTGCATAAAAGCCTATTCTTCGCCCTTGATACATAAATGACTATTATGCACGCCCAGGCGTAAGTAAGTAGCATTTTAGCGCCCTAGAGCGTAGAAAACAATTATTTTTCTTCGCTCTAGGGCGCCAAAATGCTACTTTACGCCTGGGCGTGCATAATTATAATTTATGTATCAAGGGCGTTAAGTATATGTCCACGTAATGGAACTCGTTTTGTTTTTAATTATCTCTCCTTTTTATCGATTGGAGCGCACGAAAGGGAATCCCTATATTAATTAACGTTGTCAATGTAGGGTAGAAAAGATAACAAAGGCAATCGGTTTAAACGCATTTATTTTTGGGGGAAGTCTATGTACAAATCATCATAAATCATCATCATCATCGGTCAGAAAAATAATGTATATGTTCGGAAGAAACATATACAATATTTCTTGGTATTCATTTCAAATAACTTCTGACTAGCAACAGTCGCTCAAAGCAGTTTCAGATCGGTTTTCCAAATAGAGAAAGAGAGAATAAAAACAGAATGAAGATCAAAATCATAAAGGGAACCAACAAAATGAAAATCTGAATCTAAAACTGAAGTGTGCAGCTGTATATTCATTATACAGAACAATAATTATACCTATTATTTTGTATACAACTTAACGGTAAAGAAAAATCATGATAGAAGAGATAACAAATTAATTTATATAACAAAAACGGCACGTGGTGCTCTTTGAGAACATATAAACAAATCGACAGTTGAAATGGCCCACCACAAGGTCCCCACACACAGTTTTATTCTTTTTCCATTTGAAAATGTGACAAGGAGAACTCCTTTTCGAATTTCCACTCGGCATTATTCCAATGTTTCTGTTTAGCTGGAAACAATGGAATAATTCGTTTAGCTGCGCAAGCCATTTCGTATCAAAATAACAATAATTATTATAACTACATACACCACCACGTAAAATTCTAAATAAAATGTTGGTACGAATAAAAACGAGACGAGAGGAAATTTCATAGTTGCACGACGAATTTCAACGACGCAATTTGGCTGTCATGTTTACAGGGCGAGACATGTGTGGAGCACTGGAAGGGCACAAAAAGAAGAGGAATTGAGGAGGAAGATGAGACTCTTGAGAAGAGGGAGAGGAGGACCTTTCAGACTGTCGACGTGCTCAGCTGCAACGGCTCAGGTGAGGATCTTTGTACACTGTCCACCATAAAGTATGTTTATTATTAGAAGGTTGGGAAAAAAATTTCTTAAGGGATCGATAATCTGAAAATTGATTTTGACAGGTGTCACGTGAACATTGGTATGTCGGAAAATTGGAATAAAATGACTATGAAGAGGTGAGGTTGCAAGATATTGAGAAAGTTATTTGAAAATGTTGTTTGAATAGTAATTTTTGCTCAAATAACAAAACAGTTTCATATAAATAGAAGAATTTGAATTTTGCCGGGATCCTCCCCACTAAGCAAAGTTAAAAGCTATGTTGATGCAATGTTGAAGCAATTATTGAAACGGACGTTCAGCAATATTGCAAAGGTGATGTTTGATAATGTAGCGTTACAGCAATATTACATGCTGCAGTGCCATTGCTGGAACGTTACATTTACAAATTTACATTTGCAATATTGCTGAACGTCCTTTTCAGTAATTGCTACAACCTTGCATCAACATAGCTTCCAAATTTGCTTAGTGGGTCGCTATTGCGTCATTTTTCACCTTTTTCTCAATCTGCAAAGCGCGATGTTTTTGGAATGTCGATCATATCATCGTAGTAGTCGAGTAATTCTGATATAATAGTCAGAAAAAAACAATAAAACAGCGAGGGTTCTGGTGAAAATCAGTTTTTCTCTAAGCGGCAGGGATAGTGGCTTTTTTCTGCCGATCAACAGACAGAAAAGGCGTACTTTTACTGTCTAGGCAGAAGAAATTTGTTGCTATGCAACGTTCCAAGAAGTTCTAATGAAATTAGTAATCAAAATTGACACTGACATTGGGTGAACACAAAATGATGGAATTATATCATTTGAAGAGAAAATTGTATGTTTCACACGGCAGTAAATGTAGATTGACTGCCTACTAAAACAAATAACTATTTTTCAATTCCGTCAATGTTCTTTAATCATCATCAAAGTCTTTTAAAGGTAGGTAAGCATTCAATAACTTTTTTCCAGTTTCCTCGTATTTTTGCTTGAAACTTCATAATGACCCTTCAAACAACGTTTTCAAATAACTTTCTTCACTGTCTCGCTATCTAACCCTACTTTTTACCTTTCATAGTTATTTTCCAACAATTTTTTGTCGTACCAGTGATCACGTGACATTTGTCAATACCGATTTTTAGGTTTTCGCCATGCACAATCGATTACCTAGAACGATTTTTCCAATGCTCTGGATGAGAAACAATTTTCCCACACGTTTCATACTGTATGGTGGCCACTTTATGATATTATCATAGCAATTAATGTACGATCTCTCTCCCCCTGTGGTCCAGAGGGACTCAGCCCCTCACAGATACCACCCAACCCGATCGGCGTATCTAAAATAACAATGTCACTATGCACAGTAAAAAGGTATTAAATAATAATAAAATCTATATATATATAATATATAATATAAATAAAGACAATATGGATAATAATCGTGTATAAAAATGTCCTGCGATTGGCTGAGCCCCCGCCGATTTTCATTTTATCGCCGAATTAAATAATACAAGTAAATCGTCCTTTTTACACTCACACACAGACAGACAGACAGAGTCCCTTCCTCCGACACACACTTTTCCCCACCGTTCGGTTTCACTGTGGCGCGCACTCTTTCGTTCCTTCCTTCAATATCCACAACAATTTCATAATATATAATTGAATATGTATAATATATAATATAAACAATTGTATAAATTTTTTAACTAGTTTTTTTTTCATCGATCAGTCACATATTATTATTATATCATTATCACTCATCGAGTTTTGTTTTTCAATTTTTTTCAGTTCGTTAAGTCTATGTTGCAAGGGTCTGCAGAGAGAAGCAGACCTACTACCACACTCACACTAACCCTGTGCGGAAGAGCCTAATGGCCCTTCGGAGCCCGACGATTCCTCCTCTTCTTCTCCTTCCTCGTCCTCATCTTCGATGTTCTCTTTCAGCTGGGTGAAGAAAGAAGTCAGCTGTTTCAGCGCCACTCCTGGAAAATCGAAGGAAAAAAACGTTGAAAAAACTGCCTGAACAGCATAGGCAGCAAAAGATAATATCTCAACACCCTGGCAAGTATACCACTTAGAATAGACTCTTTTTTTCAGTAACCTGTATTTTCCGCAGGAATTGATCGAAAAACTTTCGGTTTTAGGTAGCAGATGCGATATACAGCAGTATGGTGCAAATGAAAGGAATACATTCATTTCTAGCCAGACTGAGAAATCTTCTGAAACACATCAATGCTTATCTTCAATCATTTTACTTGTTTCTTTGGGATTTTCTCTCCTCGTTTCTATAAAATAAAAGTATTCGTATTATTTCAATATATTTGTAGAGGGACAAATCAGATGATTTGCCCCAAAATGTCACTGCGTTTAACAAATTTTTCTATCAGGGAGTCTAAAAGAAAAATCCAGTAGCTTGTCAGTGACAATTTGTTTGAAAAAATTTTTGAAGGAAAGAAATATAGATATATTGAAAGAATATCGAATTTTTACTTATCTTTGGACGTTTCGGGACCGATTCTGCTCCCGTTCTCAACATGTAAATGCAAATTATTTTTCTTTGAAAGTTGTGCTGCGTATAGTTTGACACTTTCAGTGTCATACTGATGTTGGCATATGAATGAGTGATTTTAGTCTACAAATGAGTTACAGGATGTTTTCTTTAATTGATCTTGAATCTACCATTTTCATGTCCCTCTACAAATATATTTAAATAATACGAATACTTTTATTTTATAGAAACGAGGAGAGAAAATCCCAAAGAAACAAGTAAAATGAATGTACCACCTCCTCGATTAACCTACAGACAGTACTTATCTTCAATGTTCCACATTCATCAGTGAAAATTGAAAATACTGGGTGATACACGTTCGAGTTCTGACGTCCGGGACATCATCAAATGAAATACACAACTGAATTCAAAATTATATTACACTTTTAGGGTTTGTATACAGTGCGTCCGTTGAAGTAGTGGATACATTCATTTTTAGGAATCTTCTGAAAGTTTGATTTTTATTTTCAATTTGCCATATTTATAAGGAAGAATTAAATATACAGGGTTATCCACGTTCGAGTTATGACACCCACGACAATTTTTTCAAATGAAACACCCTGAATATTCATTTTTCTGAATCTATGAGAAGCTGGATTCAAAATTATATCACACATAGAGTTTCTATTAAATACGGAATCCATGTGAAATATATTTTGGAATTCAGCTTTCCATGGATATTCCAAAAATTGAATGATATAATATAGGGTGTTCTATATGATCAATATATCGCGGACGTCAGAACTCGAACGTGAATCACTCTGTCTATTCAATTTCCTTTATAAGTGTAAGATTGGAAATGAAAATCGACCTGTTTCAGGAGGTTCCTCAGAAATTAATAGTTTTGCTATAAATGAATGTATTCACTACTCCACGAGAGCAGTAAATTTAACGAATGCACTGTATACAAACCCAATTTGTAATATAATTTTGAATTCAGCTTTCCATGGAGATTCCAAAAATTGAATAATATATAGGGTGTTCCATTTGATAAAATTGTCGTAGACCTCAGAACTCAGATGTGGATCACCCTGTATATTCAATTTTGACTTATGAATGTGGAATAATGAAGATACAAATCGACCTGTTTCAGGAGATTTTTCCAAAAATGGACAGTTTAGCTAAAAATTAAATTTATTCCTTTCATTTGCACCATGCTGTATGATATTTCATCGACTTCATTGATGGAAAATCAACAGAATGAAGGGTGTACAGTGGGGCCATTACATTATGGTCTATTTTTGCAATGCTGTCTGGAATCGCAAACATAGACCATAATATAATGGTTCCACTTCACAGGTTCTGTTGATTTTCTCTCATTGAAGTCGATAAAATATCACATCTGCTGCCGAATACCGAAAGTCAATCGATCAATTCCTCTGGAAAATACAGGTTGTCTGAAGAAGAGTCTAACTCTGAGTAGTGCACTTGGAGGAGTGTTTTCTAAACTAGGGGAGACGGCGGCGGAATAGCGCAATGGATGAGTCACCGACTAGCTATCAGGATACCGATGGTTGTTATAATAAGCAGAAAACAACGAAAAAAATACCGATATAAGCAGAAAACAACGAAAAAAACAACGTAGATTTGGTCGTAGATAATACCGCACACTGTTTTGCTCCTCCTAAGGTGGCGTATGGAGTCAGTATTTTCAAAGTCTAGCCTACATGGAACACACATATAGTGGGTTCCCATGAGAACTCAAACTACCACAGTCGCACCAGTTTAGTGAGTCGTTTTCTATACGAGATTCGAGACGATAATAGATCGCGTGCACAAACCTACCGACCTTGGAGGTAAAATAACCTCACTTTTCTTATTTGTTTACAAAGGATTTATGTAATTTATCATAATCATTTTCGCATAGGAATCGTGTTTCTATATTTATTTATCCAAGCATGCCATCACATTGTGCTGTTGTACAATGCACAAGAAATGCAGCACGAGACGAAGGAATAAAGATTTTTCAGGTAAATGGTAAGCTATAAGTACTGTAGCCACTCACATACTTTTCATTTTAAAATATCTCTTTAGAATTCCTTCTGCAACAGGAGCTAAGAGAGTGAACATATCTACAACACACACGACATGACATGACCATAATAGTCATCATTTCTCTTTGGAATTACTTAAATGTCTACAACAAAAGACCTTATTTAGTCAGTACTTCAGACCAGTCTTTCCGTTTGATTACACGAATCCAAGCTTCTTGCCTTCTTTCAGAAACTTCACAAGTTTTTTCATTAGCTCCTATTGCAGAAGGAATTCTAAACGTGAGTGACTAGGTACTTCTGAATCACAATTTAACTGAACAATCGTATTCCTTCCTCGCTGGCTGCATTTTTTGTGCATTGTACAACAGCAAAATGTGATGGCCTACTTGAATCAACAATGTCGCTTTAAAAAAACGATTCTTATGCCTAAATGATTATGAAAAACTATTCGCGGTCGTCAAGGTCTTTAGATGACGTTGCGATGACATTTAAAACTACGGGAAAACCTATGCCAGGAGTTTGGCTGTTTTCCCGTAGTTTCAAATGTCATCGCAACGTCATCTAATGACCTTGACGACCGCCACATATTTCCATTCCTTGTGAACAAATATGAAAAGTGAGGTTGTTTTACCTCCAGGGTCGGTCATCTCTCTGCGGCAAGACGAGATCAGTGACTTTTATTGGTATCGTCCCATCTCGTCATGCCCGAGTATTGTCTCGAGTCTCGTATAGAAAACGAAACGAGATCATGAGAGTCTCCAACGAGACTATCGTGCGAAATCACAACACCAATTGGCGTTACTGGAGCTTGAAGACTATGTCAACATTCCCCAAATTTAGCTGGATAAGCCCTGGGGGCTTGAGCCTCTTGTTCCGATAATGAGTTTTCCATCAAGGATGAATAGATTTTGAAATTGAATGGAACGCGTCGTGTGTGAGATATTTCATTTGAAGGGTCTATCGATGATATTATGTGTGTGTATGTCCGCGAAGAGTCCAATTCTTGATGACACTGGGGCAGGAATTAAGCTGAATTCAAAGAGCTGATCTGTGCCAATAGGTCACAAAAGTGCAATGCTCTCAAGTCAACATAACTCATACCAGCCCAATCTATAACCCAAAGTTAACGAGAATTACTTTTCGGAAGCCATTCATGTCATCGATAGACCCTGGAGGTAAAATAAAAAAATCCTCGATACCTGACACATAACGTTTTCTATCCAATTTGTTGATCATAACCTTAATGGAAAACCATTTTTTTATGCTACTGAGGAGAAGAAAATAAACTGGGAGTTTGGTACTCACCTTTTCCTTCCTGTTCAGCTGGATCCACGCTCGTCTCCCACATCATGAAAGCCTCTTGCGAGAAAGCCAGTAACTCGTAGATTGTTTCAAATATCTGTAGCAGAAGACCTGAAACGCAAAAAAAATATCGGATATGAAAACCAAAACATTAGAAACAATTGAAAACTAGCTAGCAGAGAACATAGCTGGGGAGGCAAGCCATAAGATGGAAGCTTGGCGAGAAGTTCACTTCGAATCCAATCTCGAACTGTAGTATTCAAAAAATTTTCGGGCCGATTTTAATGAATCAATTCAAATTTCGCGATAGATAATGAGCGTACGCCACCTATCGGAGTTCTTGAAAGCTGTCAAAGCGGCCTGTTTACTTTGTTCTCATCGATTTACATTTGTTTTTTGTTTGTGCCTTATGGTCACATCAACAAAACAAACCGCTCAGAAATGTTCAAGTTGTTGCCGTCAGGTGGAGCGACGTGTTATTTTCTATCGCGAATATCAATCTTGCACTGTACAATAAACAGTATAATGGGTGTGAATAAATGAATGCGTGACAGTTCATGAGGCAAATTCTGAAATTTTGAGATATTGTCAGTCACCAACCAGATCTTATACAGTGCGTATCATAAGTGTTACCCTCCCCCCCCCCCCCATCTAACTCGTTACGGGACTCGTTAGTAAAATTGCCGAGACCCGTCGATTTTTGATTTCTACAGTGTACATTTTCGTAGAAATAGTTCACTTCTAATTCCATCCCTTACTGGAGGGGAGCAACCCTGTCAAAAAATTTGAATAGCTTGGGGTGGTGACTGATGGCTCATTTGAAATTTCAATTTCTTTGCACGGTTGAATAGAGAATAAAACCCCCTTTCAAATGAGCTATCACTCACCACCCCAAGCTATTCAAATTCTTTGACAGGGTCGCTACCCTCCAGTAAGGGATGAAATTAATAGTGGGGTATTCCTACGAAAATGTACACTGTAGAAATAAAAATCGACGGGTCTCGGATATTTTCTTAACTAGTCCCGTGATGAGTTAGAAAGTGGGGGTAACACTTAAGATGCGCACTGTACTATACAAGGAAGAATAATAGTTCAACACCCTGTATGAAAACAAACAAGTGAGGAAAATTTTAGGAAAACTAATATGTAATTCGGTTAACAACCAAATATATGGAACGTGGCTCGCAGTGGTAACCTTCTCCCACGTTCTGCATACAGGGTATTCTCGGGGCGTGTAAAACAGAAAATGACAAGAAAACGACTCACTTGTGCATCAAAAATTATGATTGATTGAAAAAAACAACCTTATGATAAAAACGAATGGAAGAAGAAAAAAAATGTATCAACTCACCGGATGGATGTTCCATTCGATTGATGAGCGCCTGCAGGGCGTACAAACATTGCAGCTCGTACTCCTCCCTGTGATCGACGTACTTGATGAGCAGCGTAATGTGTTGCGCCAATCTCTCCTTGTTCAATTTGCATTTCTTCTCCTCGTCTATCGAGTCCTGGAAGATCGCCGTCGACAACGACCTGATGAACTTGTTCTCTTTCACCCGATCACCGACATTCGCCTATCAACAAAAACCATAAAAAAAATCAGGAACATCCATAATATACATTGACAACAACTTTCGGAAGATTTCCTCTTATGGGATTTCTTCACTATGAACACATCTAAATTCTAATGGTATTTTCTTTGAAGCTTTTATAATATTTAGGGAATTCATTATGCCCAAACATATGCATTGGCATTTCCAAATAAGACCAATCAGAAGGATCCAAAAAGCGCCTGCAATCTGGCGAGAACTTTTTGTCTTTCGCTTCTCGCTTAGCAACGATGAGCATGCAGTTCTCTCTTTAGATGCGTTCGGTTATAACATATCTGTTAGCTCAGAAAGCGTTCGATAAATCAGATCTACTTCCTCTGTCAAATCTGCTCCGAGTTCGTTAATTGTCAGAGCGAGCTGAAAGATGTAATCTGTTTGCTCCGCCTTGAGGAGCAGATCATTTAGATTTGATCCGTTATTCGGTTGTCAGTTGTCAACAAATCAATGTCAACAACATGTTATTGAAATTATATATCACTTTTGTGTCCAAAAATTAAAGACTTGATCAACTAGAAACAAAACACGAAACTGAATTTTGTAGAATCCTCCTTGCCCAGAATCGTCAGAATGACCGACGAATTTGCTGTAGGTAGCATATTATATATCTGTAATATATGCGATCACAGCTGCCCTGATCCACAGGTAATGACCGATCATATGAGACAGAATCATTCCTTCCCTAGTAATTTTAAAAATATAAATCCAAGTGATGAACAACAAACATTCAAAAGAACTTTGTTGCCCCAACGTGTTTTTAAAAGTAATAAGGTTGTTTGGTACTTTGTACATCACCCTTTATGTTATATCTAGGTCAAGTAGTTAAGACACCATGTATGTCCAGTACTTTACCTGTATGATCCTGTATAATGGTAGTTGCTAGTGGTATTACCCTATATAGGATAGGATTTCATTTGTTGTTATCATGACGACGTGTTGTTGAAACATAAGATTGAATCAATAAAGTTGGGAGAGAAATTGCAATCGGTTGCAATTTCCCTTTTATTCTTCATATCATATCAGTTTTTATTCAACGATCGAAATACAGTCCACACTCATCACCAAGAGCATCGAACAAAGGTTAAGTGAATTGTTCCTGTTTTCTGTTACTTCTAACAGCTGGCGCTCTCAATCTACTACCTCGTTGAGCGTTCGTTAAAAATCTTTAGCTCTATCAGCTAGGTGATCACGTGACACCAAATCTGCATCTGCTCGCTCGGCTCCGATTTTGTTAAACCGAACGCACCTTTTTTGAAAAAAATTATACTTGGTACCGTGGGCCAAACTTGCGACTGTCACGTAAACGACTCGGGTTCAATCCTCGCGAGGAATATCTTTTTAATCCTATTCCCAAGTAATTTTCCAAGATTAATTTAGGCTGGGTTAGGTTAGATTGTTCAGAGAAAGGAGTCCTCATTTTCGTGAAGGATAGTAATTCACGTAACAAGTCCGGAAAACACTGTTTCTCAGACAAGTAGACGAAATTCTAGGGCAATCCGTTGTCTGTGAGGTCGAACAATTCAAACAATGTGATTTTCATTGGCATTGGATATTGAAAGGCAATAATTGTGCTGCATTGGAAATTTCGTAAGGCAAATTTTCGAACTTACTAACGCTGCTGCTTTCCATAGTTTATTGCAATAAATGCGAGCAAAAACCATGCAAACTGTCAAAAATCAAAATGTCAGCTAATTTGATGTCTGATAGCTGTCAGTCGTTATTTTGCTGCTATGGTAATGATCAATCAGAACCATTCCCACCAAGATTTTCATATTTTCAATGACAACAACAATTTGATTCTTCCCTGACTAGGCCGAAAAAGTATATTTTCCTTCCTTATTTGACCACCAACTAACCATTACATAAATACATCATTTCCTATAATGTGAAAATGTTCCGAATTTAGCGCCAATATCAGTAATTTTAATTCACCGCCATAGCAAAAATCGCTGATTGGTCTTTAGGAATCGCCCATACGTATATTTGGGCAAAGCAAGTTCGTGTCCAGAAGATATTGTCATCAAAGTATAAAAAAAATTTAAAAAATCGAATCATCAATAATTCATATAGAAAGAAGTACACTCACCGTTATCCAATTGCTAATTTCATCGATATTGCTGTTGGCCCTAAGGAATTCCAACATTTTCTGTTGAATGTCCTCGTAGGAGAGCTGACTCTGACCGGCGGAAGTCGCGCCACCTACCAGGAATTCTAATTGCTAGAAAAATAACAGTCAATCAACAAACGAACAAAAACCATACTAAACAATAACAACATCTATTTCTATCTGAAGGAAAAAAATAAAAGTCCACTTACATTGTCACTAATAAAACTTTGTACAAGCGAGCTGTCCATAAAGTCGGCCAACTGCAGTCCCGATTTGCTCCACGAGCTTTGCAAGAAATTGGGACCCTTTTTACTAACTACCAATTTGAAAAGTGGGGCTAACAGTCTATCGGCCTGTCTTTGGCCAATCAAAATTATGCAGGATTTGTGCAGCCTTTTCAACGGAACGGCCTCCATGCATAAAAGATCAACTGCAAAACAATGAATTATTCCAGTTAATGAAGAAAAAAACTGCATGGAAAATCAGTAGCGATGATTTGTGAAAATATAAACTCACCCATAAGTTCGGCCAAGTAATCCCATATTTTGGGAATGTCGATCATAAGATCCTCGACCTGCGAGAGAACGTCTTCGAGATTGACGCAGTAGTCCTCCAGCTGGATCTGGCCTTGGCTAACCAGGGCGGCGAATAGGGAGCCCGTCGTTAGGCGGGCATTCGAATTTTTTTCCAACACGTGGAGGTAGCTGGAAAAAATAAATTACTGTACAATTGATGGTGTTTTATTTTATTTTTTTCACAGATGCTGAAATCTGACATTTCATTAATTTAAACCACTAATAATGCATGGTTCTAGCAAATCTGACGATATTTTACTGATAAATCAACTCCTAACACCTTGCACTTTTCTTGTCGCTGATGAAATGCCTGCTCCTTTGATCTTGTAGCTATTTGCGCCTGATGTCACTACAATTTCTGTCGTGTCAAGTTTGATTGATGTGTATGGTTCACGCGTAAATTAGCAAAATGAGCTGTTTTAGGAAAATTTCGTCTGAAGAAACCACGAAAATATGAGAAAATCAATTCCGCAAACTACCAGTTACACGGAATCATCAATAAAGGTGATAATTTTTGTTGTTTATTTGTATATTGTCGTTGATTTATCTTGCCAAAGAACACTCGAAATTTTTTTGCAATTGGATAAATTTCCTTACTAACTCAAACATTTTCCATCAGTTATTTCTCTCGAAAAACTGACTTTAGACAAAATTGTTCGACCTATGGTCTCGCAATGGGCTTATATTACAAAAAAATTTTCATTTCATAATTCGATAAAACTCACCATACACAATGCCCAAACTAGCTCACCACCGCAAACCGTTTCTTGCTGTGAGCTCCCTACGTTTTATGAAAAATTATTGAAATCCCTGATTTTTCGGACTTCTGAAAACGAGGCGATGATGTGACGTCAAAACCCTAATACTGAAACAAGACTATTCCAGACAGAGATGAATGATACATGATTTCTGACAGAGTGAATTAGCGCGAGATCACAGTTGAAAGAATTAATATATCAGTTGCCTCAGTCTCCGTTGGGCGTTTGATATTTTCTTTTAACTATGGCGAGATGAGGTTTCTACGTCATAAGAGGGTCCGTTTTCAGAAGGTACTATTATTTATGTCGAAAAATAAAACATTCCAGTTAATTTTTCGATCGAATCATGTCGTCAATCATTATTTATGTATAAAAGGATCATTATAAACATGGTTTGAGTTAGTTTTACTAAGGTGTACACGCCTTGTTTTCAGTTTTATCAGTGTCAGTTTTTCTCGTAAAATTACTGATCTGCAAATGTTTTTCGTTACCAAGAAAAATCTATCCGATAAAAAAAAAGCTGTTTCGATTTTACTGTTGATGAATTTGCTCCTCGTCGTCACGTTCTTGATTGTCATTGAACATAATAACAAAAATCAGATAAAACAGACCGCAAATGTATGAAACACACATAAGGCCCGTTTTTTTTGTGTTTGCTTTACCTGCTAAACTTTTTGTCTATAACTTTATCTGTTTACATTATGCCATGAACAGAGACAAATATGGGAACAGAGTCAACTTTAGGGAGTTCAGCAACACAAACAAACATACCTATAATTTGACTTGTAAAATAAGTTAATTCTTTTTTCATTACTCAAATCTTTTTATTTAAATTAAAAGCATTCAAACAAACTCAATGGAAATAAAATCTCCAGCTCTAACGCCAGCTTTCTTATTTTTTTGGAAATAAAAAAAGAAAATATGTAGAAAATTCGTGATTATACCCGAAACAATATCAACTTATGAAGGAAAAACTGGGGAAAATGTGAAATGATTACTAGCAAACAGTCACACAAAGGTACATGATGATGTTAGCAACCATTTCAGAGTTCATTTTGCACATTCCTTAACACTGGAGCATCAGAAAAAAATGCTTCAGCTGCCTGGGCCGTGCCAAATACTAGAATTAATAATTGAAAATACTATAATTCATATGAAAATGTCAGCCAGTTCATTAACAAATTGTTTCTAGTAATTATATTGTTGATAGTAGATATTGAGTTGATTTGAAATTAGAATGAAATTGGCCTCATCTTCAAAAATGGATTTTGAAAGTTATTTATGGACTAGATAATTAATTTTCAATTGACCTTTTATACAAAGAATCCCAAAAGATGGATATAAATCAACTTTATATCAGTTACAGACAAAATCACAACCATCATCACATAGAAGTTGTCTTCTGATTAACTAAATCCATAGTGATCACTGAACAATAGGCAATTATTTTCAAGATGATTTATTATATTAAATTTTAATAAAATTTGGAAATAGGTTGGTCAGTGCTTCAATCTTCAGCAAAAAAAAACTATCTTTTCATTTTGTCCTTGTCTTCAGGGTTCCGATGTAAAATAATGGAAAATTCACGTTGGCAACACTACAAATAGGACGAAATGGAGAAGCGGATCATATTTTCTGTCTCTCAAGACTAGCTGATCTTCTCTAATTCAAACAAACAGGGCTGAAAAATGAAATAAAAAAAAAGTAAAAATCCACTCACCTATCCCTGATGATCTCTTTGATGCAATGGCTCGGTATATCCGTACTGATCTCCTGGAAGTACTCCTCCACCGAGCAATTGCCCGACACAAACTCGTCCAAACTGTTGGTGATCCGCCTGTGGATCTGGTCCTCGCTGAGCATCACCCGGCTGACATCTTCAATCGAATCAAAAAAATACTTTATTATCCAAAAAAAAAACTCATGGACAAAGTATAGTTATCAAAAAATGGAAATACAATAATTATAGTATAATACTACACTGTTTCCACTAACCAAACCGATTTTTTTAACGCCTCGACACGTGTTTAGCTAACTGTGTTAAGTTGTAATGATTGTGACAAAACATATATAGGCCAAACCAGGCGACCCATAAAAACAAGGTTCAAAGAACACATAGCGCATTTAAAATATGGTAGGTTAGATAAATCGTGTGTAGCCGAACATATGTTCAATCACAATCATAACACACATATTACTAACCTCGAATTAGTTAATCAAGCTAATAATAGACAATTAGACGCATATGAAATGATATAAAATTGTAAGAAAGCTTCATGAACAGTCTCATACCAGTATGAATACTGTTTGTCTGTTCATGCTATTCCATTATTGAAATTATAATAATGATATATATCAACTCTCCCATACTGTTATAATAAACACTTGTTAGTTTTAAAATATAAAATAATAATATTCATTAGGAAACTGTATAAACCATCTTATTATTATTCTAACCTTCGACTGCCACCGGTTGCGGCTCGGCCACCGCTTGGACCGGCACGGGGGCGGCAACAGGTTGAGCGGCAACAGGTTGTTGGGCGGGCAGCCTCTGTTGCGAGGGGGGCGGGCCCATCGACCGTTGCGCGGGCGGGGCGCCGCCTTCGTGGGAGCGGTGCTGGGAGCTGGAGCGCGAACCCCTGCCGTCGTATTTCGGGTTGTAGCGCTCCAAGCTGTTGCCCTTCGAATGGTAGGAGTCTTTGTTGTTGTTATTGTTGTAGCCGGGTCGGGAATCTTCAGAAAAAAATGTATATTCAACTTTGTGCAAATCCCAACGTCACACAAAATGACACCTTCACTTTATATCACCTAATGTCAGTTGAACATAGTGGGCTTCAGCATAATGTTTCTTGATCTTGAAAGATCAGTTAATTTTTTCATTTTCATCACTCTTTTTGATGTTTGGCCAAAGAATCAGAACAAACCGAATATTGTATATCATATTTTCGTCAAGCAATGAAAAAAAAAATCTTTTATAAACAATAAAAATGTAAAATGATTACTAGCAAACAGACACACAAAGATACATGATGATGTTAGCTATCATTTCAGAGTTTATTTTGCACATTCCTTAACACTGGAGCACCAGAGAAAAAAATGCTGCAGCTGCCTGGGCCGTGCCAAACACTTGTTATATACCAGGTGATCAAAATCAAATCAAACAGTAGCATTGGTCAATGCGGAAATACACTGCTTTTGAGTCAGAAAATCGATATGGGCGAAAGAATCAAGATATTTTATGGCAAACCTCTTTCTAGTATTTCTAAAATTATTAAAGTTTCGATGTTTTTTTAGGATTACTTGATAGAATCCAAAGAAAAAAATCATCGAAATAATCTTCCAATTCGTTTTCTATACTCACTCATTCCACGTTTGTCCCCGTCCATATTGTCTAGAGGCGCATACATATTGGTAGTATTGGGTAGCATTTGTTGGGTAGGTGCTTTGGTATTCGATACCACTGAACCTTTACCCCATCTGCCGAACATCGAGGGAGTACCGAGAGGTTCGTCGGCCATCGGCTGAAATCCAAAAACAACATTATAAGTTTGAAAATCATCAGCGATAACTACTTTTTTTCTAATTTGTTTGCGTCTGTAATGAGTAATTTATTAAACTGGAATGCGTATTGATACAAATTCAGTTTTAGATATACAGACTTTTATACTACATATTTTCATCCTCGATCGGAAATGTTCACGTCATCATAGTGTAATGATATTCCCCTTGAAGGGGCTTTAGAAACATCAGCAGGAAGGCAGGAGTACAACGATCATCCTGTATCACGCATCCCAGATTGCTCTCCAACCTCTCAATGATTCCTACAAACACCAGCATATTTCCGAACACTCAATATATGCCGCAGTGACAAATAACGTCACAGAAGATTCTGGAATGTTCTGGAAACAATCGATTAAACAATTAGAGAGAGAGGGGTTTTGTTCTAAGAAGCTTCTAGAACAAAAAGAATGAGACGGAAGATCATTCGAGAACGTTCTCGAACCAAAGCCTACCAAGGGATCTCATTTAGATAAACGGCCGGACAACTGCTGTCAGGCAGTCGAGCAGCGAGTGTCACAGAGACAGTTATATACCGCGTGATATAAATCGTTTTTACATAAATAGTAGTTGTAAGTTCGATATAAATTAGTGTTTCTTTAGTTCAAATAAATCCGTTCGAAAATAAATAGTGTCGTGTTCGCTTCTGCACCCGAATAACGTAACGATATTTTTTATTTGTACATTTCAATATTTGGACTCGATTCGAATGTAGAAAGGTTACTATCAAACTCCGTTCATGGAATACGTGAATATTCTAACGGTGTTAGCGAATCCTTTCCAATTTTATTTTGCACATTCCTTAACACTGTTGCATCAGAAAAAAACGCTCCAGCTGCCTGGGCCGTGCCAAAAACAGAGAAAAATAGTTATTTATTATAAAAGGAAAAAAAAAAGTAGTAGATTTTAGCTCCAGGTTGTGTTGTCTCCCGACGCGTAGCGGTGGGAAGGAGACAAAAAACCGTTAGCTAAAATCTAATATTTTTCCCGTGTATAATACACTATTTTTTTCTGTGACAGAAAGAAGGACGAATCAATATTGATAAGATATTACATTATTTTGAAATCTGAAAATAATCTACGTGAAATTTCAAGTTTTTAACAGTAGGGACACCTGCGTTGTAGGCATCTTTATCGCTCTTTTGAAGTAATCAAATATCTGATGTCACTTCTGTCAGTCTAATTCTGTGATTTGATTTCAAAAATTTGCGAATTTAGTGGTTGTTTAGTTTAGGGTCCCTTGATGGAAATTGACGTTAAAGTCATCATAACAGGGTACGGACAGATCATAGCTGCATTCTTTTTTAATGATCTAGAGATTTTAGTTTTGTCAACTGGCATCCCTGACATTGCTGTCACGTCACATCCATGGGCGCTACAGAAAATCATTCAACATTTTAATTATGGTTATGTACAGGGTATTTACTTGTTGAGGAAGATCATATGGCGAACGAGTTTTGTAATCATGATCCGATTCTATTCAAAATTGAAAGGTATGTGGGTCGTTGGTTTCCGGGGTTGGAGATGATGATTGTTTCGTCAAACTTGGAAAATTCAAGATGACGGATCCAATATATAGCAAACGAAATTTCTAATTATGATCTGATTCTATTCAAGATTGGTATCTGAGGGTTTTCGGGGTGGAACTTTATGATTTTTTGTCAAAATTGGGAAATTCAAGATAGCGGATCCAATATGGCGAACGAAACTTGTAATTATGATCCGATTTTATTCAAAAAATCAAAATTAGTATCTGGGGATTTCCGGGGTCGGAGATTATAATTATTTCGTCAAAATTGGGATATTCAAGATGGCGGATCCAATATGGTGGATGAGTTTTGTAATGAAGATCCGATTCTATTCAAAATTGATATCTGATGGGGGTTTTCGGGGTAGGAGATAATGATTGTTTCGTCAAAAATTGAAACATTCAAGATGACGGATCCAATATGGCGAAAGACATTAGTTTATATGATTATTACTCTACCACAAATAGAAAATATGTAGAATGCAAGAGTGAAAATAACGTGCCTATAAGTTATACTGTGTATACTTAACGTATACCTACTTCTTTGTTACTTTCATGAATAAATTATTCGAGAATGACTCTCTATTCAAAAGAGACGGGAAAATCATATGTTTAACATGGGGGTGAAGTATATTCTATTCTTTATTTTCCTGCACATTTTACGTATTCATTTTTATCAGCCTACTTTTCGTCCTAGACGAAGTCTTTTACATAGTGTGATATTAGTAACTCCATGAATTCTTCTCCGAGTTGGATTTCTGAAAATACATTTAGCACACATGACATGAGTACAGTAGTCCAGATACCCACATCGAGGTTTCCACCATTTCTCAATCATAAGGCTCAGCTCATTCAGCTTATAGGTAAACTACTGCTCAGCTTGAATTCAGAATTTATTCAGTCAATTACCCTGGTATACAGTCTAAGAACAGTCTCTTTTGGTGAAATATATCGAGCTTTCAGTACAATTTATATGTTCCCTAAATCGCAAAGATTATGCTGGAGTAGTGAACTCTAAAACTAGAGGATTGTTCAGCTATATCTTGGTATAGTTGAATCAGGAATACCATATAGAAATTACGTATGATACGCCAGTGACCTCAATATAACCTAAAAAACAACGAATGTCAAAAATCTAGTGTTTATCCCCAGAATTGAATAAGGATGGAACTATATAACTGTTTCACAAACACTTTAGAGTGAGAGGAGACGAGGATCTGTCCGTACCCTGTTAAGATGACTTTTACGTCAATTTCCATCAAGGGACCCTAGTTTAGTTGTATACGTAACCGCGAAGTTGAATGGAAGATAAAAGGACTTGCAGTTTTTTCTCGGAGACGGTATTATTGACTCATTTTTCGGAACTATTCGCGATAGAAAATAAGCAAATATCTTCATGATAAATATCATGACGAATGCAGTTTTACCTTTTTAAGTAGAGTATTAAATTTGTAGTTCTTGTTAATATGATAGTTGCAATTTGATCATTGGAATGAATTCTGCATTCATTGCCACGAGACAAATGACCGTTTTCAGAAAGAAATTTGAGAATGAGAATTAAAAATGCCCGTTTATTATGAACATTCAAGAAAATATCCTCGAATTCAGAGATGATTTTGTTGACTTTAATATACGAATACAAAACTAACTGCACAATCAAAGCTTTTCTATTTTTCATCTACTTATACTTTTTATGAGAGAGTAATTGTCTTCTATTATTAATTCATCATTATAAATTAAGCTCTGTTTACTACTGAACTTAGATGGAGAAAAATCCTCGCGGTGAATTGCATATACCCACATTTTCGATAGCTCCTCGTCCAACGGGAAACTAAAAGCATGAACTTTTGAACCACCCACATAATTCCCCCGACAAAAGGGAACACAACACTTGAAAGGCATTGTTATTTCGCCGATCACAAGCCAAAATATTTCACAAAACAGTAATTTTTCCGCCAATTATTTTGATGAATAAACAACAAAAGAATTCGGGACCGTTTCAAAAACATACGTGAATCACCGATGAATTAACACGAACTGACGCGTTAGTCGACAAGCGATAAAATAAAACACTGGCCTCTCTTGGCGACGTCACGAGCTGTTTACGTCAGAGTCTGCTGGCCTTGTTGTATCGGTGGTAACGGAATAGCACAACAAAAGCCACCAACATTGTATATATATGCGATATATATCCAGGAAAAAAGTACTCACTTGGAAATGCCAAACTGTTTTCCCGTCACAGAAAAAATTTCATTATCGACAAAAATACATTTGCCATGATTTCAAATATCGAATGATTGCATCAAATACTATTGATACACGGAATGACCAATCAAAAACACACTCACCGCCGTCGTCTTCAGCTTGTCCTTCTGGAAGGTGAACCTCTCGTTCTGTCCTCCCGTATACCGGTCGTTCGTCCTCCCCTTGTTGTTGCCCATCGTGATCCACCCCTCGTCTCCCACCTTGTTGCCACCTCGGCCGCCCCCCGAGCCGCCCCGCCTGTCGTTGCCGCCCATCCGGTCGTCCTTCCTCGATTGCTGCTGCATTTGCTGCATTTATAATAATAATAATCCATCTTTTTTATACATACCGGGTGCAGCAATTATAGCGTGTTTTTTTAATGAAATTTGTAATACCCTGTAGAGTGTAATAGTTACACTATCAAGTTAAAACAAAAATTATCTTTGGAGGTGCGTTGATGTTTTGGGTAAGTGTAGATAATAATTTTCGTACCTGCATTTGTTGCGGCATCGGTCCCGAATTCATGATCTGGATGTTGAGGTGCTCGTCGGCCGCCTCCTTCGTGATCTGATCGATCGTTTTCGGGTTGAAGTCCTGCCGACGAGGCACCCACTTGCTGTGCCGCAGGTCCAACACGTCCTGCAGCATGAAGCGGATGCGGCTGCTCACCTTGTGCTCCTACAATCAGGAAAAAAGCCAGTGGAATATATATTAAACCAAGAAGATAATGAATCAAACAATCTCGATTTGTAAACATCAACAACTATTATATGATTTCTCGTTAGGATAAAATATAACTGCATGCAACCGGGCCTTAAGACTAGGAGATTCGTTAGAATGGCGCCCGAGCAGGGACTATTTCCTAGACTAACCTTCATAATTTCTTCTACAAGGTTCATTTAATCAATTTTACCTACTACCAATATGTAATGTGAAACATTACGATACTGATTTTAGTTTTGTAATGAAATACATTACAATTTACTAAATAATAACTAATTGATCAGAATTGATGTCGATGAATTTTTTTCTTGAGTAGAAATGAATGTTTTTAACATTGCATTTCATGGAACGGCACCTGCGCCAATCACTATCCTGAAAAATTGCACTCTCCTGTGCGGTAATCTGCACTAAGTTACGCGATTTGATAACTAAATGAGAATTATGCCATCAGATACCAATTTAATGGTAGATCGCAAGAACCCACCACTGCAAACCCTCAATCTGAGCCAAACATACGGCACAGCGATTTATTTGTTGCGATCATTCCGGGGACATACTTCCGTCATGTGATAATGAGTTGAATATCCAAACGAGCGGCGACTAAAACTGATTAAGTTATTGTCAATATTTTTCAAGTGTTTGATATTTAGATCACTAATTTGTCGAACCTACATCAAGGCGCCCTAGGATTTGTGAGTTTAATATTTTGGGTATTTTTTAACAAACATTCGAAATTATCGATATATTTCGAATGTAGAAAGGTTACTATCAAACTCCGTTCATGGAATACGCAAATATTCTAACGGTGTTAGCGAATCCTTTCCAATTTTATTTCGCACATTCCTTAACACTGTCGCATCAGAAAAAAACGCTCCAGCTGCCTGGGCCGTGCCACCAACAATAATTATCAGTTAATGGGGAAGTCTCCTATATCAAGGTTCTTATCTCACTGTGGAGTTTGTAAAAAAAATATATACGTATTTTTCCTTTATTTTTGTAAGATCAAATTTCACTTCAGAAAAAATTGAATAAAATAGGAACTTGGCTCCTCCACCATTTCTATGACATACTCTCTGAAAATTCACATTCACACAGAGTTGAAATACGATTCATCATCATCAATATGTCTAGATAATAACTATATCATAACAGCAATGGGATATAATAGGTTATTTAATCCCACTTTTGTCAATTATTATGAATAATTCCCAAAGATCTCTCATTGGCTGAATGACTTTGATTACTAATTGAGATAAATTATGATATTTTTTAATTGTATCCATGATTTTTCACTATCGTTATATTACAATATGTTATTCATAACTTGTTAGTCAATTTTTTGCTAATGAATTCATTCCTTAATAAAACGGATCCATTTTCTATGAAAGTTGCAAATTTTATCTTGCAACAGCGCCTAATACTTCGAGTCCATCCACACCACTGAAAATAGTGACAGGCACAACAAGAGGAAGGAGCCATGGGTGTCGGCTTCATTCTGTTCTGACCGATGACAGTAAATTAGGAAGGACAGTATCATTGAATGTAGCCGATAGTGATTCATTGATTCAATGATATTTTCGTTTAGTATCCAGCTCCATTCAGAATATTTCAATGCATAAGTAACAAAACCATAACCTGTCAGAATGAAGCCAGCTACCCTCTGCATTCCTGCTCCGAGTTCATTTGCGGTTATGTATGTTTGTTTACCAGTTTTACTTCTTCTATTTTTTTCACTCGTTAGCTATTCGCTAGCTTTATTCTTCACCATCAGCTATTTTCAGACTAGATTCAGAGTGTAGGTACGTCACAGTTTGCCTCCCCGAAAATTAGAAATTGCTTCAATTTGAAAATGAAAACGACTTGGACTTTATCGGTCGCCATTCTGTACAGCGTGGACATAAAACTGGAGAGTTCCGAACTTATTTTATGAAAATTCATCTGAAAGAAACTTCCCCATTATAGCTTCTGACTCACTGTAATGTTAACTCTTCTAGGCTCTTAAATTTGCTAAGTTGCCCGTACACAAATCGGTAAAAATCATAACGATCTAAAACGTCACCACATATTTACCTTCTTGGTGATGATGTCCCTCATAGGGCCGAAGATGGGCTGCAAATTGACCTGTTTGTTGCTCTCCAACTCTTTGCCGATGGTGGTCAACAGTTTGCAGAGGCACTCCAAGCTCTCTTCGTCCTTGTTCTCGAGCAGATTGGCCAGACAACGCATCATTATGTTAACGGTGAGCATGTTCTGTTTGAACAGCTCTCCTGAAAACGTAAAGGGAGGAACGTTTCAAGATGGTGACCCGACGATAAGTCGAAAAAAGTACGTTTTTGATAGAAGGTCAGTGATAAAGTTTGTCCTCAAATGGTTCAGTCCACTACTTTCAATAAACATCATGTGAAGTTGGCATTTTAATCTCAGTGAACAATTATATTTAATTATTTCGAAGTACTAGCACTAACTAGTTTACTGTCGCAAACCCTTTTTTCCCCAGAGCTCCATACATTTTTTAAATAATTATTGAAATTCACCATACATCGTAATATGAAAAACGTGGGAAAACGCGTGAAGAAATCATCCGAAAAAAATAGGCATTCTCTATTTCTGTAAGACAAGTGCAAGAATATTTGTAATTGTCATTTCAATCAGAAAATGAAAAAGTTGGCTTCCTCAAGTGCTCGCCCTAGACTCTAGTGAATTTTCTGGACTGAATACTTACTGCAGATAACAGAGAGGACAACACACAACTGAAGAATCAGATAATAAGAGGAATCTTCGAAATTTGGCATCTTGACTAGATGAAACAAGGATTTAAAAATGAAGGTGACAGGAAGTTAGGTTGACAATGTATAGTTCGACTCGCCAAAGAAGACCGGAGACAACAGGGAGAGGATGAAGACGTTCAGTACATTAAACAATTCAGTTTTGCAGATTACGTCGCTTTCATCAAGTCACGAACGATATGACTGACTGCACGTTTCAACTGATACCAACATTTCTAGAAAGAGCTTGGTATCCCGTTTCTAAATTGACAGTGAGTTGATGATCACAACATTTATATTGTGCTCTGGGCTCACATTCTTTCTTTCGGTCATCTTTTACGAGCCGGAATAAAGCTCGTCTTCTTCTTCTCTTCTTGTATTTCTGGGAACTCTAGGCATTACGCTGCTGCCAGGGCCACAAAATCATTTGAGTTTAAATAATATCTCAATCGTTATTAGGAATACTAGGATAGTTTTATCGGCACTGAAGCATCTGGCAAGTATATAAGTATTCAATAAATGATTATTAGGGACCAGGTCAAACTATTGTCATTGGTCATATAGCTTTTTCGAGGGTGCCGAATTTTATTATTGAAAAAAATATATTTGCGATGATTTTAAATAACGAATTATTGTATCAAATACTATTTATACACAGAATTATCCATATGAAATTGGTTTGTGGCGTAAATTCAACCAGTGTGTACAAACCCTTTATTGTCTCTACTGAGAAGCAATGGAATTCATAACAGGAATATACAAGTTAGTTTTTAAGGTCATACTGAAATTCCTTAGATTCGCTGTTATTATGATGAAAAAAATTATTTCTGTGAACTTTGATACCTTGAAACTTTCTTAACAACCGAGTGAGATAATATTGTAATCTTGTCAAAATATTCAACCAATTTTCTGATCAAATTTGATTGATGATATTGAGAAAATAAATTTGGTTTGTTAGTTGATCCATCTCTTACCTATAAATCTAATATTTCCTACAGATTTCATCCTAAGTCGCCTGTCATAATCTTCCAGATCGAACTGCAGGTCCTTTTTCTTTTCGGGATCGGTGGTCTCTTCAATTTCTTTCACTTTGTTGTTCCTGGTCACCTCGTCGATGGAATTCTTCTCGAATTCCACCTGACACCTGGTGATGAGTAATTTACGGAAGTTGACGAACTCCTGTTTGTCCGGCGTACTATTGTTGGTCGGCACCTGGAACACCACGAGGAATCCATAAAATGTCTCTCAAATCTATATACTTCTCTTCAGTTCCACAAAACTATCAATTATGAAGCCTCTCAAAACTCTTCAAAATAAAATTATCAAATGTATATACAGACTAAATTATTTGGAACCTACTATGAACCTTTATAGAAGAAGAGAGTTATCAGATTTAGATATAGATTCACTATATAAATTCAAATTAATATCGTTCATTCATTCAGTTAAACATTGTCAAAAGCATTCAAATTTGGTTTTCAAAATCAATAGTTATCACCACAACGATACAACTAGACAAACAGATCATTTTTCTGAAAATCAAATCAAATATTGGTGAAAACGATACAACTAGACAAACAGATCATTTTTCTGAAAATCAAATCAAATATTGGTGAAAACTTCATCTATCACAATGGAATAATACAATACAATTCACTACCAAATAACTTGAAGCTGATTAATAGGATTGAAAAATTTAAAATGGAATTCAAGAAACATCTACTCTTGTAATATTAGCGACATCTTATCCTATTTTTATAGTTTTCTCGTACAACTACTATAGTTTTCCATTGGGTACCTATCAGCTAAGTCAATTAAGAATCATTTTCAGAACTAATGGAAAAAAAAAATTCTTCTTGAGTGTGAGTCTTATTTTACTGTCTTCTTTATTTTGTCAAATATATTTATATATACACCATGGTCCCTACTATAAACAAAAGTCGTTTCTTGGGAATAATAAAGTTGATTGATTATAGATTATTGATTTGATTGTACTGGTTTATTTGTAGCTGCATGTATAATTGGCCGATTATCGAGATTAAACTGGCCAACTAAGTTTTGCAGACATCGATATTACAGCCATAAACGCCTTCATAACTTTGGTTAAATTACAGTTAAGAGGAGCTGGGGCTGTGTAAACTAACCGTCAACCAACCGCATTTAAAAAAAATAATGCACTTACATCTCAAATTACTTTGATTCAAAGATTCAAAGTTATGTCTTCAAACATTAGAATTTCCCAATTATATTTTGTACTGGAGGGGTGTACTTTGATTTCTAATAATTCATCTACTCCACTATGAGTAGTTTCAAATAAGAAAATTGTATGTTGGAGAATTTTACTAATCCTATTTTGTTTCATGATTCAAGTAAATGATAATCATTTTCAACTACCAAAAATTTCTTTAGAGCTAAGCATTTCTGAAAAGTGCCGATGTACAGGGTGTTTGCAAACCTCAAGAGATTCGTACGGCCAGGACCGTGATGAAATTCATTAGAAATGTATGAAATGTTCAATTGATAACATCTCTATTATTATGAAACTTATATTGAGGCGATATTTGGTGGACATAACGGGTGACAATGACTCATGGTATACCACCTTTTTCTCCTTTGTTTTTCTAGCTATAGTTCTGAAATCTGGAATATCAAATATGCTCACTAGAGGGCATTATCTCATTTTTTTTTCTCTTCCGGTTTTCCTAGAAATGACATCAACTTTCGATTTTCCCTGTACACACCCTGTATTTCATTCCATACAATACCGTGTTCGATTGGGATATTTGAAACGATCTCCAAGATATTCGCGATCGAAGTTTCCATGAGCTCAATGAGTGTGACAGAGATAGAAGTTTCCATATTACGCCGTCACACCCATTGAGCTTATGAAAACTTCGGACGTGAATATCTTCGTAATCGTTTGAAATAACCAAATCAAACCCGGTACTGTTGAATTCGTTATAATAATCTCTAACCGATTATGGAATGAAATACAGGGTGTTCCATTAAAAAAAAAAGGTTAATGTGATTTCCAGGAAAACCGGAAGATCTCAAAAACCAAAGGAGAAAAGGGAGGTATACCATGAGCCTGTGTCACCCGGTATAATGATGATATTCAATTGAATTTATTTTCCAATAGGAGCCTCTAGAGGTCACCCCTAAGATAGGTAGGTAGGTTCTGAATTATTGTTACAGAAAATTTATAAAATCCATACTTTCTTGAAACGCTTGTATCTTCTCTCAAAAAGGAGATATTGACCACAGAGTAATCAAACCTTTTATCGACGTTATTCAAGAACCGTTGTATGAAAGAGGAACAAAAGAAGATCATACTTAAATTTAAAGCATGATGAAGCAGAAGGTTGAAGAATGGTTCTGAATTATTGTGAATAAAAATTTTAAAAATCCATTATATCTTGAAACACTTGTATCTACCTTTGAAAAGTAGTTATCGACGTGAATAAAAAACCATCATGCAGAGAAGAGATCACTCTTCAATCCAAAACATAATGAAGCTAAGTTAAACCACTCACCTTTCCCACAGGGCGTTAAGAAGTTAAGGGTGAAAAAGTAACTTTCGCTTTTCCCTGTATTATGATCGAGTCATAAGATTTTCTTAGGAAATAATATTCAGGCTAACATTCGAAAACATGAATCTACGATTTGGTCGAAATTTCACCAGAATCGGACCAGAATTGAAAAAGTTACAGAGCAAACAATTTGGCTCATTTATTTGGTGGCCGGTTTTTTTTTTGCCGGCGAGTGTATATATTTTTTATGTATTTTTTGTGATATTAATGTTCAGGTATAACAAAATCAAATTAATACAATGTATCAGTAAGTAGAGTACCGCAAAGTATCCCTTTATGAACTTGTACTAGTTTTTTGTGATTAATGAAAAAGAAAAAAAGTTAATACGACTAGTGGATAATCATGTTTGCAATTTGAATGTCAAGTTTGGAACATCAAGACAACAAAAAAAAAAACAACTCACCTGCATAAGAGCCAGCTCCTTGCACATATTCGCATACGCCACCGAGAAATTCGGCTCGTCCACCGCCTTCTCGAACACCAAATCGATAACACCCTGCAACCTGGCCGACGTATCAATCGGCAGACCCTTGATCTGCGCCAGCAACGTTTCGAACTTTTGCGGCGTCAGCTTGTTGAGCACGCCGCGCACCTTCTTGTACAACTCCTCGGTCCTTTTGTCGTCATCGGTGGCCGCTTCGCCCTTCTTGAAGCGCGCCGGTCGCCAGGCGTTCTCCGTTTCGTGCAATTTCACGTCTTCGCGCACCGATATCGATACCTTCATCAAGGGTTTCGAGGATTTGTTGGCGCCGCCGCTCATGCTGCCGCTGTTGCCACCGCCGCCGCCGCCTCCTCGGCCGTCCATCTTGCCCTGGCTGGGCCTCTTCGAAACCACCTGATAATTCGGAGAATTCGGAGGCTGTTAGGATTAATTGCGGGAGAGCGAGTGAGGTGGGGAGATTTAGTAGATGAAAATGCTCAGTTCCACTATCAGGGTCAACATGGGGTTGTTCTGATCACTACTTTCATACAATTTGATCATCATCGCATTTTGCACAAGTATAGAAATTGTCAATTTAGGAAAAGAACAGTAATAATATTATAACTAAAAGACAAACAAAACAAATATATAACTGTTTACAAACAATTATGTATAAAACAGAAGTACTGTAGGATGAATGATGACAATTAAAATAAAGCATTAAAATATTCCGTGAGATAGTAGTAGCTTTAATTTTCGAGGAATAATTTGCACTGTCTTTAGAAATTCAAGTGAGTCAGGCAAATTATTATACAGGGTGTTTCATTTTTTTGTAGCAGGACTTCAACAGCTTGAAGAAGACATTTTTTCAAGATGAAAATCTCAAACAAACATATATGCGTGGAAGCTTCGTTTCCGATTTACAGGGTGTCGAAGTTACAGATTTTTTTTTATGTATTTTGAATTTTCTTCTACTATTTTCGGAATGATTGATTGAAATTTGGAACACCTAATACACTTCAAAAACTCAATATTTGAAGCTATTGAGCGTTTTCGAATACCTACAGGGTGATAGACTTTCAGGGGTCGTAACCAATTTAACCCTGTAGAACTTTTTTGCGTGCCGCCTCTGCTCTCAATGGGACAGATTCAGATTGTCTCTGCAATTTAGAAACTTTTTGCCCCTTTGTAAATTTTTCGTAAACTGTATGGATCTCGAGATAAATGCCAAAAATAAATTACTTGTAATAAAACCGTTATTTCTCAAACACACTCATTTGACATTTCTTAAACATTAACTGAAAGTCTATCAACCTGCAGGTATTCAAAAACGCTCAATAGCCTCAAATATTGAGTTTTCGAAGTGTATTAGGTGTACCAAATTTTCTATCAATTATTCCGAAAATTGTAGGAGAAAATTGAAAAAACAGAAAAAAAATCGGAAATTTTGACACCCTGTAAATCGGAAACGAAGCTCCCACGCATATATGTTTATATGAGATTTTCATCTCAAAAAAATGTCTTCTTCAAGCTGTTAAAGTCCTGCTACAAAAACTGAAACACCCTGTATATTTTGAGAGCTGTTATGACTGGAACTTTTCTAATCTGTGCGAGTGAAGCGGACTTTCAATGGTCCAAAATTAATTTAATTGGAAAACAACAAATAATATGAATGGTTCTACATTGAAATAGGTGGAATATTAATGTCTCTAGATTTTTTTTAGGGATCGACCAATATCATTTTATGGGTCCGATACCGATATACACATGGCCTATATTGGCTGAAACGATATATCGGCCATGAAATTTTGCTGTAGATTTGTTTCTCTATAAAAGAGGCAAAACTTAATTATAATTATATACTAATACCGGTTAGGGCGGCTAAACCATAAAAAGCTTGAAGACCCTTTAAATTAGAGATTCAAAGCCTATTTGCCTATTTTACTGTTATAAACCTTCTTTTTGCCACTTTATGGTTCAAGGCATCTTTGTTTGATAATGAATTTAATGATTTATCTCAGTTTTCATAGATTTGAAAAATGAAATCCGAAAAATTAATGGACAGGATTCAGACTTGCTGAAAGATAATTCCGGAGAATTACTGAAAAATCAAACAGGTAAACCAAGAGATTCAGAAAAATATCCCCGGCTCGATTTCTCTTAACTGGTTGGGCGCCAAAAAGGCCTTTTTTCCAATAAATTACAAAGTTGCAATAATTTATTCAGCACCCACGCCAAAACTATATTGTATGAAAGCACAAGAAATCGTCTAACCCCGGAAAGAGCAGGAAGCTTAATCTTGTTTCATTATAACTTGCCAGAACTTCAACATTAATTTTTCTGGCCTTGGGCTACTTATACATCTCTGATGAATTTTTTGCAGTATTTGTGATTTAATTTCTCTAAATGATCCTTAGTAACTGAAATATTCAGCTATATATTTTTTTGTTAAGGGCTAGTACATAAGGCCGATACCGATATCGGTATCGGTCGATCACTAATTTTTTGATAGAACGATCCCAAAATTGGAAACAAACAATATGCACCACAATAAAGTTGAAATCCCAAAACTTCCAGAGATAAATGAAATTTAATAATTTTTCCCTCGACTTTGTATCAACAATATACGAAATTAATCTTCAATTACCCTATTAACGATCGATTGTGGTATAGTCAACCAAACATAAACCTATTTCATTGAAAAATTCTCAATAAGGGGTGTTTTTTCATAATGTTTCTGAACCGATTTTTTTATTAACATTGAAGGAATTTTTCAACAAGTTTTTCATCGATTGTCATATAATTCGTCAGATATTGAAATTCCATTTCATTGAAACTTAAAAAATATGTCAATTGTGATATGGAAAGTGCCCGTCTCAGTATACCAAGGGGGTTAAATCTTGGAATTGAAACAAAAATAGATGTGCTTACCCCTCTTTGAGAACTAGATTTGCCACCGTAGTTGAACGATGGAGTGAAATCGGACCGACCTCCCATTGAAGATCTTCCATCACTAAGACGCTAGAAATTAACAAAAAAAAAAAAAAAGAAATTAGCAAGAATAAAATGATAATAATTTCATCTTATAGAGACTACTTACCCCCCTATTATTGTCATCTATCATGAAAATAACGTCGGGAATATTGTCTGGTGTTTTTCTACTAGCAGGTAAGTCTTTTAGAGATAACAGGAAGTCTCTTTGGTACACCTTCAACCCGGCTTGGTTAGCGGGTGACCATTGACCTGAAAAGCAGAAACTAAATTGAAAAGAATCCAACAGAGGGTAGTAGAAAACATAGAACATTTCCGATAAATTTTGTCGCTACATGTATAATTGGCCAATCATCGAGAATAAACTGGCCAACTAAGTTTTGCAGACGTTGATCTCACAGCCATAAACGCCTCCATAACTTTGGGTATATTACAGTTAAGAGGAGCTGGGACTGTGTAAATACTCATCCAAAATTCGAGAACCACCCCTCAACTGTCAAAACCGCCTTAAATCAAATATAATACAGATGTTACAAAATTTTTAGGTCTTTATATTGATGAACGACTATTGTGGAATAAACATATAGATCATTTGAGAAACAAACTTAACCCCATTACAGGCATTTTATTCAAAATACGAAATTTCATTTCTACTAGATACTTGAAGAGTATTTATTTTTCTCTTATTTACTCAAAATTTCAATACCTAATATCTATATGGGGAAGTACCAATATTTCACGTTTGAGTCCACTAACGAAATTACAAAATAAAACATTGAAGTGTATTTTCAATTTGAATTTTCGCGAACCAACCATGAATTTATACAAACCTAGAAATTTATTAGATCTGACATCACTATATAAACTTAAAATATGTTGTTTTATTCAATTTGTCCTATATAAATAGAAAATTTCGAATATGAATTTTGATGAAATCAATTCATTACATAATCATGGAACAAGACAATCAAATTTACTAATAGCAAATACGTTCAAGTCAAATATCGGCAAACAATCCATTTTTCACACAGGAATCGTTCTATAAAACTCATTACCAAGTCAATTGAGGAATATACAGAAAGCAACTAGATTCAAAATTAACTTGGAAAAATATCTGCTTCAGAGACTTTGATAATTCCATTTCTTATTTGAATACCTACTTATAAAAGACAAGGTTGATATTGCTTGATTATTTGCATTTTTTTACTTGTTATATCTTATTATAATTTCATAATTGTATGTATAACATTATGTATATTGTTTATGTATCCCTATTATAAACAACTATGGTTCTTGGGGTAATCAATCAATCAATGTTTGCACTAGAGAGGTGTAATTCTCTCATTTTGGATCTACCTATTTAGATTTGAGTAGTTTGAGATGAAAAATGGTATGTTTGAGAATTTTAATCACCCTATTTTGTTTCATGATTCGCGTGATTAGAAATTTGAATGAATTCAATTACAATTCAAAGACAATTTATTGTTCTTTACTGTCACTAATATTTTTTTTAACAATATGAAGCACAACCAAAAATGCCTCTAGATTAGTTCGAGGAATTTATTGCATTAGTCACATTTTGTTATTTGGAATGGGACAACTGATTCAGTGACTTTTTCAACAAGGATATCCGAATTTTCAAAGAAAAACTAATTATTTGAATTATTGACTGAAATTTTGAATTTGTATAAGGGACAAGGAAACTTTTTTGATAAACACAGACATGAAGATAAAAAAATTTCAAATCATAGGAAGTGGTGAGAAAAAATTGTATTTGAGATTTCTCATGTAAAATTCTAGTCCTTGATATTTTCCTTTTTTTTTGCAGTAATCAGTTACCTGAAATTCTACAGACAATTACAAAATGAATAATCCATTGGAAGAACAACATCAGTTTCATGAACTGCTGCAATAAACCAACTCAAAAACATGTCAAAACATATCAATGTAAAAAAGGCATTCATATAATAAATAGATGCAAAAACATCGATGAAGAGAAAAAATGTTTGGAAAAACTCAAATTGAAACATTATGTTTACAAATACTGTCTGTAGGTTAATCGAGGAATTTTTTTGGGATTTTCTCTCCTCTTTTCTATAAAATAAAAATATGAATTTTATTTCAATATATCTGTAGTAAGGACAAATCAGATGATTTGACCAAAAATGTCACTGCGTTTAAAGAATTTTCCTATCACAGAGACTAAAAGAAAACTTCACTAGCTTGTCAGTGATAATTTGTATTGAAAAAGGTTTGGAGAAGAGAAATAAAGGTACATAGAAAAAATATCAGATTTTCAATTGTCTTTGGACGTTTCAGGAACGAATCAGCTCCCATTTTCAACATGAAAAAATGGATATTTGGATAGCAATTTCTCATTTCCGTTTTCAAGAGAAATGAAAAATTGCTATTCAAATATCCATTTTTAATGTCGAAAACGGGAGCAGATTCGTTCCCGAAACGTCCAAAGATAAGTAAAAATTCGATATGTTTTCTATATACCTTTATTTCTCTTTTCCAAACCTTTTGCAATACAAATTGTCACTGACAAGCTAGTGAATTTTTCTTTTAGGCTCTCTGATAGGAAAAAAATTCAAACACAGTGACATTTTGGAGCAAATCATCTGATTTGTCCTTACTACACGTATATTGAAATAATATTCATATTTTCATTTTATAGAAACGAGGAGAGAAAATCCCAAAAAATCTGCAATAGTGAATTATGTTGACAGTTGAAAATGTTTTGAGATGCGCCAACTCACCATCCTTATAAGGCAACTTGTTGTCCAGCCCGCCCGCCGTCTTGGCGTTCGCTTCGTTCTTGGCCTGCACCAACTTGTCGTTGATGCCGCCCCCGACGACGGCCGCCCTATCCGGCTCGTCCTGCCCGCCCGCCGGCGCCGGCGCCGGACTCACGAACGGCTTCGGCTTCTCTCGAACGATAGACGTGATGTCGAAACTGGATTTTTTCACCGTTGGCTCCGGGGCCGGTTTCACCACCTTTTAAGGCAAACAAAAACAAGCAGTTAGAATAAGGCTAGGCTAGGGGATTATTTTTGTTTCAATTTTTTCGGTCGGCTTGAAATTGTTGAAATCATCATTGTCATATTAATTTTCAAACGGCTTGAAAACATGGGAAATTGGCTTGCTGTCGAATTCGCTGAAATTTTACTATATTGTTGTGGAATATCTGGCTCATTAGAAAAATATGAGCGTGTCATTTTCTATTTGTAAAGCGATAATTCGCGAGGATTTCTGCCGTTTTCTGGCACTTTCGGCCGTCCGAAGATGGCTCGGTGACTATATCGTACTGAAATCTCAGGTGGGAAAATGAAAATTTTTATTTGGCTTATTAAAAATCTGAAAAAATTCACATAGACTAATTCGATGTCGAACTGAACGAATCTGTGGTGGAAATCGAGAAATTTTGGGAAATGAAGACGTAGTAGCCTACCGGAGTGCTTCTATTGGCAATAAAAGCGGAAAGCTGACTTTGAGCGCCGATATCTCGAAAACTGTCTGTCCTATCGGGTTGATCATGGTCTCATTCGATTCAGCGTGTCATTTTCTACTGGAAAAGCGATAATTCGCGTGGATTTCCGCCTGTTTCTGGCACTTTCGGCCGTCCGAAGATGGCTCGGTGACTATATCGTACTGAAATCTCAGATGGGAAAATGAAAATTTTTATTTGGCTTATTAAAAATCTGAAAAAATTCACATAGACTAATTCGATGTCGAAATGAACGAATCTGTGGTGGAAATCGGGAAATTTTGGAAAATGGAGACGTAGTAGCCTACCGGAGTGCTCCTATTGGCAATAAAAGCGAAAAGCTGACTTTGAGCGTCGATATCTCGAAAACTATCTGTTCTATCGGACTGATCATGGTCTCATTCGATTCAGCGTGTCATTTTCTACTACAATAGCGATAATTCACGTAGATTCCGGCTGTTTTCTGGCACTTTCGGCCGTCCGAAGATGGCTTGGTAACTATATCGTACTGAAGTTAGGTGGGAAAATGAAAATTTTTATTTGGCTTATTACAAATATGAAAAAATTCACATAGACTAATTCGATGTCGTGATGAAGGAATCCGAGGTGGGAATCAAGAAATTTTGGAAAATGGAGACGTACTAGCCAGTAATCAAAATCGACACTGACATTGAGTGAACACAAAATGATGGAGACTTCAATGAAAAAATTACACAAAATTGTTTTTTATATCATTTGGAGAAAAAATTCTATGTTTTACACAGCAGCAAAACTTTTCTGCCTAGTAAAACAAATAACTATTCTTCGGACTAGACAATCTTGCTTCATTATACAGTGTGGCCCTAATCGAACTATTGCCGGAAATTATCTGTTTCTCAACCGATTTCAACCCTTTTTTTTTTCATCCAATCACTTTTTTCAAGGATTTATGTATGTACATTTGACAAGTACCAGTTGGTTATTTTATGAATTTTAGTCCCTGTTTGGAGAGATTTAATGATACACTTCATAGCCCTAGAAATACAATAGATTATCGGTATATATCTCACGACGAAGTTAAAAAATCTATTCTATCGACTCTGAAAATAAAAAAAAATCCTAAAAACTAGCAAAAATTCTTCGCCAGTACCAAATATATAATTTCATATTTGTATGGAAACACTTTTGTGAATATAAAGTGCTATACAAGGTGTCCCGAAATTAGCCTGCCAAACTTCACCTGCGGCTCTTGTTTCGTATCGATCAGATGTATCATTTTCGAGTGAGATCGATTTGAAAATGTCGAATCAAAGTCAGTTGTAGCACCTCGAGAAAAAATATATACGTACGCAAAGCGGTTTCGCATCTTTTGAAGTTCGATTGGAGACCGTGCACGTGAAAGATTTTGGAAAATGGAGACGTAGCAGATCTAGTAACCTGACCTGAGATATGTTACCAGATCTAGTAACCCAACCTAAGATATGTTACCAGATCTAGTAACCTAACCTGAGATATGTTACCAGATCTAGTAAACTAACCTAAGATATGTTACCAGATCTAGTAACCCAACCTAAGATATGTTACCAGATCTAGTAACCTAACCTAAGATATGTTACCAGATCTAGTAACCCAACCTAAGATATGTTACCAGATCTAGTAACCTAACCTGAGATATGTTACCAGATCTAGTAACCTAACCTAAGATATGTTACCAGATCTAGTAACCTAACCTGAGATATGTTACCAGATCTAGTAACCCAACCTAAGATATGTTACCAGATCTAGTAACCTAACCTGAGATATGTTACCAGATCTAGTAACCCAACCTAAGATATGTTACCAGATCTAGTAACCTAACCTGAGATATGTTACCAGATCTAGTAACCCAACCTAAGATATGTTACCAGATCTAGTAACCTAACCTGAGATATGTTACCAGATCTAGTAACCCAACCTAAGATATGTTACCAGATCTAGTAACCTAACCTAAGATATGTTACCAGATCTAGTAACCTAACCTAAGATATGTTACCAGATCTAGTAACCTAACCTAAGATATGTTACCAGATCTAGTAACCCAACCTAAGATATGTTACCAGATCTAGTAACCTAACCTGAGATATGTTACCAGATCTAGTAACCCAACCTAAGATATGTTACCAGATCTAGTAACCTAACCTGAGATATGTTACCAGATCTAGTAACCCAACCTAAGATATGTTACCAGATCTAGTAACCTAACCTGAGATATGTTACCAGATCTAGTAACCCAACCTGAGATATGTTACCAGATTTAGTAACCTAACCTGAGATATGTTACCAGATCTAGTAACCTAACCTGAGATATGTTACCAGATCAGAAAAGAAGAAGAAAAAAAAAAAGGTTGGGTAACCGGAGTGCTCCTATTGGCAATAAAAGCAAAGAGCTGACTATGAACGCCGATATCTCGAAAACTATCTGTTCTATCGGGCTGATCATGGCCTCATTCGATTCAGCGTGTAATATTCTACTAAGGAAGCGATAATTCGCGTGGATTTCTGCTGTTTTCTGGCACTCTCGGCCGTCCGAAGATGGCTCGGTGACTAAATCGTACTAAAGTCTCGGGAAATTTTGGAAAATGGAGACGTAGTAGCCTACCGGAGTGCTCCTATTCGCAATAAAAGCAAAGAGCTGACTTTGAGCACCGATATCTCGAACACTATCTGTCCTATCGGGCTGATTATGGTCTCATTCGATTCAGCGTGTCATTTTCTACTTGAAAAGCGATAATCCGCAAGAATTTCCGTCGATTTCTGGCACTTTCGGCCTTCCGAAGATAGCTCGGTGACTATATCATACGGAAGTCTTAGGTGGGAAAATGAAAATTTTCATTTGGCTTATTGAAAATCTGAAAAAATTCACATAGACTAATTCGATGTCGTAATGAACGAATCTGTGGTGATCAAAAACTAAGCATACATAACTTCCCAAACTCACATATTTTTCTAATGGGCCATCCTACAACACCATAGTAAAATTTCAGCCAATTCGATCGAGATCCAAGTTCCCATGGTTTGGTGCAGGGTTGTTTCCCACTGAGTGGAATTCATTAGTTAGCCTTTTATTATTAATAATTTTTTTTGACATGTGTTCATGTACGTATCCCTATTATGAACAGGTATGTTTCTCGAGGTAATAATAACAATCAATCAATAACTATATCAATCCACTCTAGAGGATATTTGGTCCGGTAAACGTGACAACACAGCATCGCCAAGTCTCAATAACCAATATTTACATGATGTTTTGTTATGCAGTATGCAATCAAGTGGCCAGGTAGCCTCGTGGTGGAAGCGTCAGTATTTTAATCCTTGTTCGCTTGCCGGTGCGGGTGCAAATCCCCGCGAAAGCAAATTAACACAATATCTGATCAAAAAATTATGTTTCTACTCTATTCAAGAATTCATAGCCTTATTGACTACACATGACATAATAAAGATAACAATTCTTTCAATCAACAATACTGAAATGTGATATTTATGTATTGTTATTTTTAATTTTTTTTACATTCACAAGTAATTTATTTATATTAACGAGTGTATAAAATAAATACAAATATAAATACCTGTGGGGGCGGTGTCGATTCGACGACGTTTCTGCTGTTCTCGATGGTCACGGAGGCGGGGATGTCGACGGTCGAGTTGGCGTTGATTATATCGTTGGGGGTGGGGGTTATGGTGGGGGCGGTAATGGTGGGGGTGGTGTCTTCTATCGCAGGGATGACGTTGGAGTTTACCTACAATGCAACAACGACGACGATCGTTTATGTCAGTTTCTAGCCACATAGAGAAGATGCGAAAAGTTTGCGGGGAATCGAAATTTCATAGACAGTTCAAACGGGACGAAATATTGATTTCACTAATTAGTTAAAACTTGGTATTCCCGTTCATTCTTTATGCACCTAAATTGAATTGTATCTTTCATCAACTATTTGCTAAAAGATGACCCACTTGTATCTGTTAAACGACAAATACAAATAAAACTGTGACTTGCGCAGGCGCGATACTGTCAGAAGTCAGGCAAACAATTTCTTCCTATCATTTTTCCAAAATGTTGTTGAAAATTCTGAAAATTCTAGTCGTATCTTCAAATTAGACATTGGAAACAATATGAATGAATGATTATTATTGTAATTATGTGATCACTGAATGTTATAACACAAATATTTTCATCGGGCTATGTACGCTGAGGATGTTTTGACCAAGAAGAAAAGTTCAAAATCAAAAAGCGGTGATGCAAAAAGGTGCAATAGTCCTTAAATAAAAATAAACTTAATGACAGTTAATGGAAGCAACATATAAATTAAAAATGCGGTTTTGCATAGATCCACCTTGACATTCAGCAGACCATCCAGGACCAAGAACCATATTGAGTCCAAACCTTCCTGCTCCAGTCTAATATATCCTCATTTCAGATGTAAACTTATTCATTTTATTTCAACATAGTATTCAGTCATCCTGCAGGTATAGTATACAGTGTGTTATAATTTACATACTTACTAAAAATATTGCCTATAAAGGCGATAAATGATTTTTTTCTAATAAACAGACAATATTATGCTGGTCCTGATAGATTTTGAATTGTTTCCACAGAACGGCAATGGTGGGGCACAACAAGAAATTGAATTACAGGGTGGCAACTAATAGAAGAATTTACCTAACAGCAAAAAACAATATTTCCGATAACTATGTCGCTACATGTATAATTGGCCAATCATCGAGAATAAACTGGCCAACTAAGTTTTGCAGACTTTGATCTCACAGCCATAAACGCCTCCATAACTTTGGCTAAATTACAGTTAAGAGGAGCTGGGACTGTGTTAATCAGAAACCGAAAAATATGGAACCAAGAATTTTCAATAGGGATGCATTCAAGAAAAAAATATTCAACTCATCTTTCAAACTACTATGATGATTTAGACTAGTATCTGTGAAATGTAAGGTGAATTCTTCTTTGCTTTTGGTACTGGTCAAATTTATCTTTCACCCTGTTTTTATGAAAAACTTGATCATTTCAAGGACAGAATGAATATCATTCATATCACTGGATTCTAATTATAAATGTACAGGTTAATTCAATGGTTCAAAATAGTAACCAATAAAACATAGAAATAAGATATGATTTGAATATCAAGACAGCTTAATGGGCCTGATTCAGTGAAAAAATTAATTTCATTATTTCCAAGTACATACCCTAACTGGTCCACTGGTCGTGAACCGTTTTTTCCGATTTTTCCTCAAAGCTCTATATATTTTTGTAAATACCAATTGAAATTCACGATTTCTGGTCGTTATTTTCATCAAAATAAGAAACGTATTCATTAGACTGATTACTTACTGCAGATAACAGCGAACACAACACACAACTGAAGAATCAGATAATCTGAGGATTATCTTTGAATATTCGCATCTTGACTAGATGAAAGAAGGATTTGAAGATAAAGGTGAAAGACGATATCGTATCACACTTGGAGTCTAGTGGGAATGATTACAGAGATATAGGGTGTTCAAAACCGAGATTTTTCAACTTCAGGAATTTTTTGAGACGAAACTATTCATCATCGGTCAAAACGGCTTTCATGTCCATATCTTAACTTTTGATTTACTATCTACTGACATTTAATGATTGGAATAGATACAGGGTGATCAGAATTCTGTATTTTGAACCACCCTGTATTCGTTTCAATTAAATGTCAGTAGATGATAAATCAAAAGTCAAGATAGGGACATGAAAACCGTTTTGGCAAATACACACAAAATTCCTAAAGTTGAAAAAATCTCAATTTTATCGATGAAATCATGGAGAAGCTAAAAATGCAATAAAATACAGGGTGTTCTATTTAAAAATGAATACATCTTGCCCATAACTTTTTTTTGAGATGTTCCATGGTTTTTCTGTTAACATATTCAAAATCTAGAGGGAAAATTATAAAAGTCTGTTCTTTGGAAAAAAAATTCGATGATAAATAAAATAGTTAAGGGAGGGTTCAAAACATACGTGAAGACCCTGTACAACCCAAAATATGTGTAAAATATGCCTGGACGTTATAAAAAAATATTACATTTCAAAATATCGTCACTGACACCTGTTGCAGCGAAAAAACTAATTTCAAAAAGAGTAAGTAACGGCACGTTTCAAGTATAATAGCGTTAAATTGGAAAAAAATCGGAAAACCCACCTCTTCCTCTGACCGCACGTTATCGTTGAAAGCGTCCATGTCGGTGCCCTCCTTGTTGGCCCCCTTCTGGTTCAGCTCGTGCTTCTTGTGCGCCTTACTGGCAGTCTTGGGCGGCTGCGGCAGAGGCGCCGCAGCAGGCACCGCCGTCGTGACGGGCGTCGCGACGCCCTTCTGCTTGTTCGGCACGGCGACGGCAACAGCTGCGACTGCAGGTTGCTTTTGTTGTTGCTGTTGCTGCTGTTGCTTGGAAGCGGAGCGTTGAGCATTTTGTTTTTTTGCTGAAAAAAATTAGAAAACGGTTGAAGGAACACGTATTGTCAGTTTGGGCTTGATTGTTTACACGGGCAGGTTGACCGCAGGCAAAATTGTGTACACCAATATTCAATAATTCCACAAGGAATCCAAAGGAATAGGCATGTGGGCTTTATTATTTTCTGAATAGAATCATCATTCAACTACCTTTCAATTCCATATTTTTTTACATTTTTTCGGTCGATTTTAAGGTCCTAAAATCATCAATAATACCGCGGTAATTTTCAAACGGCTAGAAATTTACCGCAAATGACAACCGACGTCACGGTTTTGGGTTTTGGAAGTAGGAGCAGTCAAAAGAACAGTTTCCATATGTTGAAATACAATTGGGAACTTTAGAAATATTATTCAATTAAATAATTCATAGATTATCAATTATGAATTGGTGATTTTCTTAATTGACTATGAAAAATCCATTGTCTCAAAATGTGCACTCCTGCACTCCTTATTGTTTCTGATGAATTTGTGTTAATAATAATTATATTCATTTGGTATGGTAAACGCGAAGGGTAAACCGGTGGAATACTTGTGTACAAACAACTGGAATTCCTCGAAATTCCCTGGATTTCCATGGAATTTCTTGGATTCCCATGAAATTCCTTGGATTTCCTTGGAATTCTTTGAGTGAAGTGCGGCATAATGGGCGTGTACACCTTAGTAGAACTTTTAACTCAAACCATGTTTATAATGATCCTTTTATACATAAATAATGATTGACGACATAATTCGATCGAAAAATTAACTGGAATGTTTTATTTTTCGACATAAATAATAGTACCTTCTGAAAACGGACCCTCTTATGACGTAGAAACCTCATCTCGCCATAGTTAAAAGAAAATACCAAACACCCGACGGAGACTGAGGCAACTGATATATTAATTCTTTCAACTGTGATCTCGCGCTGATTCACTCTGTCAGAAATCATGTATCGTTCATCTCTGTCTGGAATAGTCTTGTTTCAGTATTATGGTTTTGACGTCACATCATCGCCTCGTTTTCAGAGGTCCGAAAAATCGGGGATTTCAATAATTTTTTATAAAACGTAGGGAGCTCACAGCAAGAAACGGTTTGCGGTCGTGAGCTAGTTTGGGTTCTATTGAATTATGAAAATTTTTTTGTGATATAAGCCCATTCTGGTGTACAAACAGCTGGAATTCCTTGGATGTCCTTGGAATTTCTTGGTTTTCCTTAAAATTCCTTGGATTTTCTGGGAATTCCTTGGATTTCCTTAGAATTCCTTGGAGTTTCTTGGAATTCCTTGTGTGAAGAGCGGTATAATTCTGGTGTACAAACAACTTGAATTCCTTGAAATTTCTTGGAATTCCTTGTGAAATTGAAGTTTGGTGTACACAATTTTGATCGCGGTTTACCCCTCGGAAGCTATGGAGGTGTTTCAATAACCAGAGACAAAATTGGATTTACCAGAACCGAAAATTATTGAGGAAAAGTTGAATAGGGAAAATTTGACGATAGGAAAAAATTGGTGAATTGTGGATTAATGAAAATAAGAGAAATTACAACTTTCTTGTACTCTTCATTTTCAAAATTAATTATACCCAATTGACATTGACAAAACACCATGGCTTCAACAAATGACACTCAATTTGATAGTAGTTGCTACCAACAAATAACACCACATGTCTGACCTTTTCCAACTGAAATATAGTAAATAATTATTGAAGAGATGTGTGACATTCGAAATAAGAAATGTTAAATAATATCGAAATTAAACGCCAGGAACAATATGTTTTTATTGAATTTCTGTCGCTACATGTATAATTGTCCAATTATCGAAAATAAACTGGCCAACTAAGTTTTGCAGACTTTGATTTAGCAGTCATAAACGCCTCTATAACATTGGCAACATTACAGTTATGAGGAGCTGGAACTGCAATAGAAAAGAAAAAAATCCTGGCATATTCACAATCTAAATATTCCTCACAAACATGAAAAAAATAACTTCACAAACTATAACAATTGATAGACGAATATTATCAGACACTATATATACAATCCATTTCCGGTTGGCAAAGGCACAGCGAAGGGACGGCAAGGTAGAAAACGGGTTTATCTATTCCTTGATTGGGCGGAAGTACGCATGAAAAGAATTCAACAGACGCTGCTAACCAAACAGAAATGAGGTCAAAGTATGCCATAAAGCAATGAATCTAACGAAAATTGTGCCCCCTTATTATCAACTGATCTGATTTATTACTATTGTCGATGCTAACCGAATAAAGCATCAATTATTATTGATCAATCATCGACTATTCGAAATCATAAAATTCAAATAAACTAAAAGTGAGGGGCTGTTAACTACATTAATATTTTTTCGTAGATTGTACCAGACTACACCTGATATTATCGGGTCGCATTCGTCAGGGTTCAATGAAATCCATTTCCGTCATCGACTGACGAGTGACGACAAGGTAGGCCATTAAAAACAGCTGAATTAGCTTATTATCACTACGGGGGAATCCACGTCACAAAAAAAATTTAATGCTTTTTTCTACGTCACCGCTACCTTCGATATAAACGGATGGAAAATGGATTGTGCTAATCGTGAGGTCCGCACGGATCCTATCTTGGGCCCTTCCCAAAATCACTCGCGGTAAATCTTTCCCTACAAATACGAAAGGTTCTGGGGGTGATCGAACTTTTGGGAGGTTATACCAAGTCTGGTTTGTTTCGGTTTCTCTCACGCTTCTGAGCGTGAGTTCATTTAGAACGTGTAGTTACGTGAAATCATTTTGATATCAAGAAACGTGTTTTAAAGAATATTTTACTCGCGAAAATAGCAACATTATAACTGGTTTTCATATTTAATTTTATTTGAACATGAATGATTACCTCTCATTCAGAATTCACACCATTTATTCGGTGACCACAAACTTTTCTTGGTGCTGGAAATCTATGGAATGATATGAACGATATTGTATCGCATTTCTGTTTATCGTCTAGTAGTTGAGTATTTACTGCCCCCAGGGTAGACAGACCCCTGTAATTATTGACTCCACATTGAATTATTGAAAAGAAACAATTATCTCGTCTCTAATATCAGGGTCAATGTACCGATTGTACCTCGATATGACTCAATGGTTGTTTCGTTGTTTCTCTATTGGCCCCAGACATCAATTAGCAATATAAGCTCCTCACGAGCGTCTAATGATTAGTATTTAATCCTTATTGGACGACTTTTGGCACAGATGTAATTTTATGGGATTTGTAGCTAGAGATCAAGGATTATTTTGATTATAATTTATTGAGAAATTTAGGCAGTACTCCTAAATTCAAAAAGAAAATTTTTGAAATGATATTCCAGTTGATGACGTATTGTAGACAATCTTTCTTCATTATAAATTCTAGGCAAGTAATACCGATTCAACGGAGATTATCAATATTCCATACACTTGACCTGCTGCCCCCAACAAGGCCGCAAATTATTATCATTCAACAACAATTTCAACGATAAAGAATACCACAAATGTGATAAAATTCCCGAATAACAAGAAAACACATAACATGTGGTGATAAACCATTCATTTCGAATGTACTGGAATCAAAAATCAAGTGTGACTCCACATATAATGAATCAGCAAAAATAACTTGAATGAATATTGAAATCTCAACACTTTTGCATTTGCAACTAATACACATATGTATGGAACATAACCATTTTATGTCAATGTGAAAAATAAATTAATGATCCCAGGATTGAGCTTCATTTAAAAACAGATCGATTAAATAATCAAACATTATGGAAATATCAGCTAGGGCTTGGAAGAAAATAGATCCTTACGATTTAATTTGGATATCATAAAAAGAAATAAATGATACTTGAGAGTGACAGATTTAGAAAGTAAGCAAGACGAAAAATCATGAAAACAGAAACACAAATGAGACGTGACACTAAACTTAAAACTTAGCTAAGTAGGCAGGTAGAGACCTAAAAGTGCCTGTGGGCGTGAAAGAACGGACATACCCAGAAAGGCCAATGGAACAGAAATAGCCTTAGTATTAGTAATAGTAGAAGATGAATGGCATGGCATGTGGTGGAAACCGAGTGCCGGTTATCAGCCATGTTGGCAGAAAAGACCAAAGACCGCCAGTGATGCCAATGTGCGCGTAATTACTGCATTTCCACGTATTCGCTTCGACTTGCATTAAAGATGCAGTAATGACATTTTGTGTGGATTCTGCACGGATTCGGTGGTCTTGTAAGATCCATCCTATGATATTAACAATCACAATTTTTAGCATCATACTATTCATTTTGGTCACAGCAATAGCAATATACGTTTTACGAATGGTGCGACAACTCCAAGAGTCCAAGAAAAGAACAGCACTAACGGGATATAATAATATTAGTCACGTGATGAAATTTACCATTCCCGTAGATGTTTACGCAAACTGTTAAGTTTATTGCTTCCTACCTTTTATTTTGAGGTTATCTTGAGTCGTGTTTTTTTCACAGAAATCATAGGTACATCATCAAACAGCAAAACAAAGTTATAGTCTGTTCATAGAATCTCATTTATATTTAATTCAACGGCTCTATTTCCCATAAGGAATGGACTAGATTAAATATTAATTAAATGACGTTCTATGAACGCCTCTTAGTGAAAGGAATGCTTGAACTCTTAAGATAAGTTGAAATTAAATATAAATTATGAACTGACCATAAATCATTCAAGGATACCATAACTCCATCCCTTTTTTTTTAATTCGATTTATACTACAAAATACGCGGATTTTGTACGGGTTCTTGATATTATTGCAATAATTTGCGCAGATTTTGTAGCCTGCGTGTCAGTATTTAGCCTATAATCCATTGGCAACACTGAAGACCGCAACATTCATGAATTCAACATGCACCGGCCTGTGAGCCTGACCTCTCTCGAAATTATTCCGGCCGCTATACCGGCCACGTGACACCCGATCAGCCAATGCCCCCTGTCGAGACAGG